TCATGCGTGGAATAACACTATTGGGGGTCAGTTGATCGAGAATAGGAAAGTTAAATTCCCTTCTTTTATCAAAAATAGCTACCTTTGGTTTTTACTAAGTTAATGTCCAAGTCTAAATAGTTGGCATGAACATCATTGTTATTGCTTTTTTCCGTTGCAACTTCTTTCGGATATATTACCCCCAGTGGCACAGCGGTATGTCTGTAGACTTACAACGCTAGAAACCGGGTTTCGATACCCGTGGTGGACAGGACACAGATAGCCTATTGTGTAGCTTTGTGCTTAATTACAAAAAAAAATAAACTTTTGGATATATTAAGTTTGGTGTAAAAGTTCAAGTTATTTATGGAGATCATATCATCTATGTAACGGAAAGTGTAGATGTAGAAATTAAGATTTAATACTTGTTTCAGAAATGAGTTTTCATAAAATAACAAATACAAATTGGCCATATATGAAGAGAAGTTCTCTCCAGTAGGAATACACACTGTTTGTTTATATACTTGTTCATTGAAAGTAATATAACTATTATAAACACAGAAGTGATGTATATTTATACATTGAACTTTAGTAAATTTAAATTTGGGAATGCTTATTTCTGTATTTACAAAATTATTGAACAAGTCATTGAATACTCTGATTAAATCATTCAAATCTATTTTAGTAGTAGTAAAATCATACGTAGAAACAGAGCTGGCCGTAACTGAAGCATTTAAGTTATTTAAACATTCCAAAACTGGAATGCTGTTCTTAATAATCCAAAAATAGTTATCTGGATTACTTAAAAAGGGTGTTTTAAATTTTTCAAGAACAACATCCAGAATATTATTATGAACAATAGATACAGATTTGGTAACTGTATTTAAAGAATTTATTATAAATCTGAACTTAATGGGATTTTGACGCAATTTTGGAAATGCATACAAAAATGACAATTGAGAAGAAGAAGAATATTCCCCAAAATCACATCCTGCTTTATCAATCGGGGGTAATAATAAATTGTTCTCGAACTTTTTTTTTTGAAGATATTGAACGAAATGTCTATTTTATATTGAGATAGATTTAACTTTCTAGAAAGGGAAAGGAAAGAAATATTAAAATAGGGCTTGTAGTTCTATTTAAGATCATTTTATTTACGACCTTTTATTTCATTTCAATTTAAGGTTTTTTTATTATTTCATTTCTTTCGTGAAGGCGGAGGTTGGGAGTAACATATAACATATAGTAGAAATATTAGGGTGGTTTCATTTCATTTCTATTTTAGGAATTAGAAGAACTTTTAAGGGCGGAAGTTGGGAGTGACATATATTGGAAATACAATAGTAGGTTTCGTTTCATTTCTACTTTAGAAATTAGAAGAACTTTTAAGGGCGGAGGCTGGGAGTGACATATAGTAGAAATATATTAAGGTGGTTTCATTTCATTTCTACTTTAGGAATTAGAAAAAAACGTTTAAGGGTAACTGTTCTCCCAAAACTAGCTGCAGACAGGGAAATGTAGTAGGAGTTGAGACGTTGTGGGTGTAAGCACTCAACTCCATACCCTTAACTGATTTTAGATGATTACTGGCTAGTTTAGCATCAGCATTTGGTCTTTGTCTGGTAGATGGGATATCACCAACGCATTTGGGGGCTATTACCACAGACAATATTTGTTATGACTTTAAGGTGACGACTGGGATTTACAATGGATTTTGCAAATAACTTCTTAATGATTATTTTATATTAAGTTTATCATTGTTTTATAGTGCTGATTTTAATCGCCTATTAACAATGAATGGAAATCATCGTATTGAAGCTATTTATTTCATTATATATATATATATATATATATATATATT